CAACAAAATAGGCTCATATTCTGACAGGGTGTTCGTTTGATCATAAACTGTGCTGTCTAATTCAATGAACATACTTTGTTAGTCCAGGACTCTTAATGAGAGCAAAAAGAAAAATAATGCAAATGTATTCAGAGAGTCAAAATCTATTTGAAACTGAGCAACACCTCTTGTGTCCTGCCTGTGGACCAGTCACACCCACATTCTGTTTGTGCAGATCGAAGAGGTGGTGGCTAAAATAGAGATAGAGGTTGGCTCCATAAAGCAACATTACGCTCCAAGGTGAATCGAAGACTAGATCCAGGACTGTGAAATCCTTCATTAGCCAACCAGCCCAGCCTGTATGCTTACGGACCCTCCTGGTGGTGGCTTTAACAGCAGAGTTTGATGGAGCTGATAAGCCTAACGAAACGACCCTTGCCGGTGTGGAAATATAAAAGTGTTGCAGTCACTCTCTCCATCCCTGTTAATATAAAGATAACATGATAGAGGAAAGGAGGACATGGACCTGTTCAAGGGCCCATGTCATGCTTTTCCGGTTATTACCCGTCCCCTTGTGTGTTATGAAGGTTTTTATGCATGTAAACGGTCTGCAGAGTCCAAATGGACCAATCCGCGGAGCACCTCACACACCAGGATCTAGGGATGGGTACCGAGCCCCGGTATTAAACGGGCCCCGGGGCTGAATTATTAAAGACCGTGGTACCGTTAACCTCCGACGTTAGCGGTCTTTTTATCGGTACTGGATGTAGAATGATCCAGGGTCGAGTATCTTTCACGACTCAGGTTTATTATACAGTAAGTCAAGACATTACAGTAGGCAGCAACAACACAACTGGCGGGCTTACACTCAAGTAAAGCAGTCCTTCGCATGCCGTAAAGCATGTCGCAACACTGTCATAACAGCCTTAACTCTGTATGCATTGTATGCATATGTGACATCTCCCCTTTTTTCCTAGTTATTTAATTTTAAATAACTGTAAAGAGTTTTTACAGATTAGTCAGAGCATCATCCTGTAATAGTAAACAACAGTCAAACTGTGATAGCAAATGTTCATTCAGTCGTACTGACTAACCAAAAGTGTCCTATGAATACAGGTTAACTTCACAGATTATGTTAATAAAGATGGGTAACCAATACCTTCAGTAGTGCTGTTATAAAATAAAATTCAAGTTTTCTTATCTAAACATGGCAGCAGTAATATCACATTTGTACATAACATTCACAATAAACAGAACTAAAAATTTAGCAGACTCAGAGTCCACCTGTGTTTCCCTATTCATTTTCTCCACCCCAAAGGCCATAGGTGATTTTTTTTCTTATTCACCCCCAGAGGTGATCGTGAAACACCCAAAATACTCCTGTCTACAAGTCCAACTTAGTGGCCGGCTTACTGACACGGCCAGACCTGGTCTGAACACGTCCTGGTGTTGGTGTATGGGTTGTCACCCCACTTGGTTTCAGGGTAACAGTCTCTGGTATGTTGGCGCTTACAGGCTGGGAAATCGCCACAGCACTCTCTGCTGGTGTTAGTGGGATGTGCTGTGCAGGTCGGGAAGTTGTTTCTGCCCGGAGATGAAGTCGGTTCCGCCGCAGCACTGCACCTCCTTGTGTGTTAATGAGGTAAGACCTCGGAGTAACACACTCTATTGAGACGATTGCTGGTGTCTTCCAGGACTTCTCGTTGACGAGCTTGGTGTAGACTGTGTCTCCTGGCTGTAGAGCTGGTAGATGCCTGGCACCATGTCGTCGGTTGTAATAAAAGGCTTGTTTTGCTTTCTCACTCGTGTCCTTTTGTTTGACAATCTGTCTGTTAGGCCATTTAGGCCGTAGATTTTTCTCGAGTGTCAGGAGCGTCGTTCTGATCTTTCTCCCCATTAGCAGTTCTGCTGGACTGACTCCTGTGGTAGTACAGGGAGTGGATCTATAGCACATAAGGGCTATCAGCGGATCTTCCTGACGAAGGATTCTTTTAGCGGTCTGTACTGCTCTTTCTGCATGACCGTTTCCTTGAGGATGGTGAGGACTAGACGTGATGTGTCTGAAGTCCAACCGCTGTGCCAGCTCCCGGAATTCTGCACTGGAGAATTGGGGACCATTGTCACTCACAACCTCTTCAGGATTTCCGAACCTAGCAAAGGTCGTTTTAAGTCTCTGGATGACAAGGGCACTGGTCGTAGATGGTAGTTGTAGTATTTCCAGGTACCGTGAATAGTAGTCTGAAATCACAAGGTAGCCACAGCAGAATCGAGTTTCTGTTTTTAGGTCTCAACAGCTCCACGTCAGGTGTATCGCCGCCCCTTGAACTGCAGTCGGTGTAAACAGGAGGATTTGGTATGGATCCTCCATCTTGGGCGAGTACTAGGTTTCCGTCTTCATATTTTTTGGTGGAAACCCGTCGTCTTGACCTCACTAGCTGTGTGGACACAATAGTTTTCTGTGTGGGGGAACAACATCACTCGTAATCTCTTTCCTTCTCATAATTAGTCTGCTAAATGTTCTATTCTGTGGATGCTTTATGTGTAAATGGAAATGCTACTCTCGATTTTGTTTTACATTAAACATTAAACCTCTCCCTCCTGTGGTGACAGATATGGCTCAATGTAGCTGGATTTCAAAATACCCTTGTGCTGAAGATGCATCACCTGTTGGTCTGGCCCTCTGAGCTTCCTCATTGCTGTGATTGATACCAGGGTGTCAGTGGCATTTGGGTCATGTTTGGCACCACTGTTCGTCTTTGACATCTCTGGGACCCCCTGCCTCCGTTGTCATCATGGAAACCTCCTGGTTGTTGGTTCTGCTTCTGATTTTCTGGCACTATCTGAGATTTAACAGTTTGAGGGGTCTGCCCTGCATTCTCTGGTTCTTCCTGAGCTTGAATTGTTGGAGGTGTCTGCCCTGCCTTCTCTGGAAGTTTCCCCTCCCTTCTCCTTGTCTTGTTCCTACAAGCTACGGTGTCTTTTGTTTTTTCTGCTATGTCTTCCCTCACTGGCAGGTCTGCTACTCGGACCACATTTATGCTGTGTGCCAATAGGCTGGCATATTCCAGATGGAGTATCAGACTTGTAACTCTTATAAATCTTTCTTCATCTTCCCTCCATATAGTTATTTTAATTGGAAAGGTTAAAGCATCGGATCAGATTATTACCCTTTCCTTGATATCTGCAGTTGAGCCTGGCTCTGCGTCTGGTCTCAACTGGTCTCCTATTCGAATGAATATTATTAAGTTATCAAAGATTGAAACACTAATCCTCCGACTAGCACCTTCGTTCCTGATAAATAATATCCTATGTCATCCGAACTTAACTTTAAATCTGGGTAGGGTTTTTTTTTTTTTTTTATGATTTAAGTTTTTTGTAAAATATTAATAAATTAAATTAAAAGATAAAAAATTATGCAAATGTTAAAATAAAAATTGTACAGTGTATCGTTTTGACTTTGAGATATGAAAATCGAAATCTTGTGAAAATCGAAATCTACTGTGTACAGTGCATACCGAATGTATGGAACTATGTAAATGTCATAATTTGTGTTAGCTTTAATCAATTGGTGTTTGAATATTCTACAGTCTAGTTTGAAAGTTTCTCATCTTTTAATTAGAAACCACTTTGTAATTCTGTCCTGGCGATTGGCGCATGTGTTCATTCATAACACTCAAAATCAAGCTTCAAAATGTTAAAGTATCTTTGTAATAATTCTGTATTACCAGCAGAGTGCGCTGTTGTAATTTCCAGCTCAATCCACTAGGGATAGCTGTTGCAAAACTGACCTCTTTTTAACAAGAAGAAGCTTATTTCCTTAAAAATGGGAAGAAAATTAGAATATGGTTAAACAACACAGCACATAACCGCCAAAACACATTTGCAAACAAGAATATTCAAAAAAACGCCAATACGCACTTGCAAACAAGAATATCTCAAAACCAGCCAATACGCACTTGCAAACAAGAATATCTCAAATAAACCGCCAATACGCACTTGCAAACAAGAATATTTCAAATCCAGACTCCTACAAATACCAAACTTCCCACGGTAAGATAACCTGTCTATTTTATAGTTCCAACTCTGCCAAGAAATATGATTTGTCCTTCTCAAGATGGAGTGCCTAGCCTCATGTGAGTGGGACTGAGTGTGTAAAAACAAACAGAGTACTTTCAATTAGCATTTCACGAAATGGCGACTGCTGTGTGGCTTATTTTCAGCATGAGGACAAGACAAGATGGCAACTGATTTTCCAACCTTTGACCTGAAGAACAAAGCGATTTGAAAACACCTCGTGGCTCTCACGGGGGAGTTTAAATAATGGCGGGGTGCAATCTTGTCAAGAAAATTGAACACAAAACACTGCAGTTTAAAATAACATTTCTATCTAGTTTACTATGAAAAAATAGGCTTTATCTTATTGATATCATCACTTAAAGTTAGGAACACTTACGCATAAGCTATAAACCTATCTACGTATTATTTGACTTTATAGTCCACTATTGGTCAACTGCTGCCATTTCGACACGCTAGGTGGGAGTAATATGTTAACTTATCAGCGACTATTAAATGACCGTCGTCAATTTAACGTAATGCTGTTGTAACTCCAAATACCGTATTCCACCCGCAATATCTTGGTTGAAAATAGAACAGTTATGACCACTGATAAAAGCGTACACCTTAATCAAGCCTTTCCTAAAAAAAGGACTTTTTTAAAACAGTTTTCGACTAGCACTGTCTTCAGTTACTCAACCCTAAATTGATTCGCTATGCCTTGTTGGTTTTAAATTACTTGATCCTTAATCAACTCGCTATGTCCCATAGATCTTAACAATAATCGTTAAATGGACTTATATATCCTTACGTCATAGGCTAACTAACGTAACAAGAGACACCTACATGAAAACACAACAATACACCTACCCGAAGTACAATGGCCACACACATTTTAAAATACAACACACACACAAATTAATAGCATGCAGGGTTAAATGTAAGACAAAGAAGAAATTTGAACTCACCGTGCCTGTGAAAATGCAACGCCACGTGTTATGATTGTTATTGTTATACATTTGGTTGTTTTAACATTAATTTCCCAGCTATTTTCAGGAACCGGAAGCAGCCGTCCAACACACAGTCCTAAGATTGTTCTGCATAAACTATTGAAGAATTTTGACGTAACAGGCTTCTTCTTTACCCTGGTTTGAGCTCTCTGTGTGTCGAACGGGTTGCCAGCGGCTCCGGGCAACAGCCGGCTGTGTAGTCTCTCCGGTCCAACGAGAATCACGTCAGGGGTCATTCCAATTGTTAATCTGTGATGGTTATTCTCGTGTCCAGGAAAGAGAAGCTTAAAAGGAGACTAAATGGAGTCTCTGAGATGTTTTCAAATTGGTACTTTAATTAATAAAAAGCGTGGTAAAGTCACAAACAGGATATTGTCCGACAGAAAAGCAGCTGTCTCTGGCTCTCGCTAGCAGAGGGAAAAGAGAGGCCGAACCGCTCAGGTGCTGCTGTTATATATCTTCTCCTGACTCCTCCATGCGGGCCGGCCCTCCACATCTTAATGTCCGTTGTTACGTTAAACAGAGGATTCAGGCATTGTACATTCAATATATACTTAAACACGCCTCTTCTCCTCATATTGTCTTTCATCACTTTTCCTTTAACACATTCTAAACGTTGTAGTTAATATTCTAAAAAATACAGAAAATACTTCACGGCTGGTTTGGTTTCTGGTCATTCCGGATGTTGTCACATCTTACCCACGTCTGTAAACAATGGCTGCTTCTCAGGTCGACTATTTTCATTTCCTCGCTCCTCGGTCCTCGGTCTCACCGGAAGTTGATTTGCCTGCGCCATCTTGAGTACCGTCCCATGGCTCTTATTTCTGCCGGAGGACCGAGGATCGAGGAGCGATAACCGAGGAACCACCAGACCATCCTCCGATGAAATCCTCAGATACGCACCCCGCCCCCTTACTGTGTATCGCTCACTGATTGGACGAGGCAGTGCATGCACTGATCTGATGCTTCTTGACATGAGAGCAATACCCCAGCGGAGTGAAGAAAATACATGAACCTCACGGGACTCACTCCTCAGTTTATACCGTGTTTTGTTTCAATTAATTTATCATTTAGTTACAAATATGAGATATATCTGAACAACAAAGTGGTCAAAAATCATTTTATTCATTTATTGGAAACATTTTCATGATCGCTTTTTTCGTTTTACATTTTCATTTATTGTCATTTCCATTCAGTCATTCATTAAGTACTATTTAAAATATTAATTTGCTCCACACAAACAAACAAAGTGTGCAGTCCAATGAATGTTAATCTAACTGGGTTTTGATAGATAACATATCTGTTTTTGTTCTCTGAATAATTGTATTCCTATTGTGCACTCTAATCAATATTAATCAAACTATTGTTCGTTTAAATACATTTTAAGAATGGCGTTTATCTTTTTTGAGAATGACTTCTTATTTTATTTCATGTATTTGGATCTAAAACAGATGATACTAATGTTTATGTCAGTAAATGTGCACTAACAGAGGCGGGGGTGTTTGTGGAAATAACGGGTACAGAGCTGGCTGCTGCCAGACGAACAGCTGTGCAGCGTCATCACAAACGGACGTCGCTTCACGTGACGCTCCGGAGGAAAGGACGTCCCATTGCTCTTAAAACTCATTTCCCTGCTTCTCGTGGTTTCCTTGCGTCCCTCAATGCTTCCCTGGTGGGAGGGACTAAACGCAGGGAAACGACGCAAATAAAGGAAGCAAGGATTTCATTTAATCGACCTGAGAAGCAGCCTTCAACTTTATTCAAATAAACTGTACCTTCATTTAATATTCAGCAATAATAATACGTCTATAGTTGCAGTGTTAAAATCAGTAGGTTTCGGTGTGCATCACTCCATGTCATTTCGCTACTAAATTGACCTCTATAAGAAATGGTAAACTAGCCACATGCTAACTGCTAACCGGAGATGAAGGATTTTCAGAATAAAATACTTAACAACTGGTTGTGCACAAGAACTTCTGGTTTTTCAGTATAAAACAGCATTTAAACTGAAGGTATGTTTAAGGTACATTATGCTATCAAAACATTGATTTTAATTTCTAACACTGCTCAGCCTGTACAGTCCCTGTGACCTCACTGATCTATTGCTGTGTCGGCACACTCTGGCCCAATGTCCTATTGTATTGCACTTGTGGCATGTAGCTTTAGCTGCAGGACACCCTTCTTCCTAGCTATGCTGTGATTTCCCACATTTACTTTCACTTCCCCCCCATTTTCTGTCTTTTGACTTGCCTTGATGTTGTTGAGGTTTCCATTTGTTATTTTTTTTCTTTGAATCTCACCTCCTGTAGCCTACTGATCCCACTGTGTCTTCCTGCAGACTCACTTGTGCTGCGACCTCCTCTGACGGTCCGTATCGTCAGTGCTAGTGTAGGTCAGCTGCAGCCTGCGCGAGCTCTCTGTCTCGTATCCCGACAACAATTCGGTCGCGGATATTCTCATCTCGGTTTACGCCAAACTCACAGTGTTCAGATAGATCATACAGGGCTCGGATGAAACCCTCTGCCTTCTCCCCTGGCCACTGGACCCGCTGGTGGAAACATGCCCTCGTGGATAACGTTCCTCCTCGGGAAAAAGTACTCGTTGAACTTTCCCACCACAACGGCAAAGTCATCGCCGTCATCTTCTTCGGCAAAAGTGAACGACTTGAATATGTTTTCTGCCTCGTTGCCCATGGCATAAATCAGGCAGCTCACCTGCACTCTCCCGTCATCTTTGTCGAGTTCCGTAGCGAGTCTGTACCGCTCAAAGCGTTGCCTCCATTCTGGTCATTCAGTCGGCTTATCAAACGAAAAGTTCGCTGGGGGATTAAACCTGGCCATTCCGCCGTCTATATTCCTTTACTTTGTCTAATTCCTGTGACTCACCGGTCACTTCTGACACCATGTAGAATGATCGAGGGTCGAGTAACTATGGGCTCAGAACAGTCTCATAATACACATGCACACAGAAGGATTCAAACTTGTATTTCCGGATCCATACTTGTGTTTTTCAATGCACACACAAATGTATTCCGTTTCATATACATGTAAATAAAATCCAAATACAGAAAAAAGTTTTATATATGTATTTGTTATCCTCACTTATTAGTTTCCCGTTTAAATCCCCTGAACCTGCAAACACAAACAGCTTTCTGTGCACGGATCGCTTTGCATTCGTGTGTGGGTTTTTTGAGACTCCCCTGACTGTCAGCCGATTCGTACTTGTAATTTTTCTATCTATAGCCAATCAGATGTCTCCTTCATTCTAAGCCAATCACATGAGCGCGCCCCCACGAGGGTAAGATTACTTCATATACGCATTTTGCGCAGTCCGGTCAGCTCGCTAAACAGGACGGAGCATCAGGTGATCATGCAGAGCAGGGTGTCTCCATCAGACTCAGCAGCTGATCTGATCTCTCTCTCTCGCGTCCGGTTATACTTCACTCGCGTTTATGTCCATATCGATCAGATCCAGCTCTCCTGATCGGCCTTTATATAGAGCACCGATCAAACTATTAAGAGTGAATATCGGCCGATAATGACCGGCGGGGCTCCCCCCGTTAACAGGTCACTGTCTAGCACTGACTTCGTAGTGCACTGATCGATTAGGCTAAACTAACCTAGCTGCTCCCTCCACACTCACAACAACTTCATACAGACATAAATAAAGCAGCTGTATTCGCCATACAGGAAACCCTCATTTAAAACGGTTTTGCCTGCCGTTTTTGTGTACACAAGCATTCATCAATGGTTTGGAAAGTGGCGCTTTACCTTAATAATATAAAGGCTTGTATTTGCGTGCATTTCCTGTTCGGAAAGTGGCGCTGTACTGAGAGTGGAGGGTGTCCTGAGATTAGCGCCTGCAGGCAGGCTCCATGGAGCTGTCAGCTCCGGACTGCGCAAAATGCGTACATGAAGCGCTACGTCATGAACGCAAGAAATCTACCCTCGTGGGGGCGCGCTCATGTGATTGGCTTAGAATTGAGGAGACATCTGATTGGCTATAGATAGAAATAATTACAAGTACGAATCGGCTGACCGTCAGGGGAGTCTAAAAAAAAACACACACGAATGCACAGCGATCCGTGCACAGAAAGCGGTTTGTGTTTGCAGGTTCAGGGGATTTAAACGGAAAACAAATATGTGAGGATCAAAAATACACATGTAAAACTTTTTTCTGTATTTGGATTTTATTTACATGTGAAACGGAATACATTTGTGTGTGCATTGAAAAACACAAGTGTGGATCCGGAAATACAAGTGTGAATCCTTTTGCAGATCATGAAATACAAGTGTGAATCCTTCTGTGCGCATGTGTGTATTATGAGACTGTTCTGAGCCCATAAGTATCTTTCACGACTCTGCTACATTCAGCAACACACACACACACACACACACACACACACACACACACACACACTGAGGAGAACGCGCTCCGAGGTGTGGTTAAACTTTACCCGTCTCGATGCTCGTTGCCTAAAGTGCAATAAGCAGTGGTGTAGTGGGCGTTGGACGCGGGGGTACGCCGTACCCCCACTTATTTGGAGCATGATCTTTTTTTTAATAGTCTAATAAATATAAAATCATTGCCAGTCTTATCAGTTGCAAGTGTGTATTTGTTGTAATAATGACAAAAACATAATACATTTCACAGTAATGGCCTATAATAAAAAATAAAAACGATTTCCTTCAACAATGATGATTCGTCATCACGCTGGTGACCCCGCAGCGAGCTGGGGGTGTGTCAGCTCACCGCCCGCCGATTTTGCGGCAGCTCTTTCCCTCAAGAACGCTAACGAAAAAGCTCTATAATGGAAGGTAAACGTTTTTTTACTTGACTTTTCTAAAAAGAATATAATTCACAAGAAGAAAGAAGCTAGCAGCATCGAAGCTACAAGTGAAGCTGCTACTAGTACTACATCATCAGAAGAGCCGCCTAAAGACATGGATAATGCTAGCTAACGTGCACGTTAGCTGCGCTAGCAACGTCCCCCTGGCTAGCTCAAGCTCACCTTTCCCAGAGGTATGGACGGAGGACATGTGGCAGAGGAAACAAGAGGAATACCCGTGAATAGACTGCAAAGCTGGGAAACTGGGCTGCTGTTCATCCATTTCGGATTGACCAGTCTTCAAAACGCAAGGTGTGTGTGTGTGTGTGTGTGTGTGTGTGTGTGTGTGTGTGTGTGTGTGTGTGTGTGTGTGTGTGTGTGTGTGTGTGTGTGTGTGTGTGTGTGTGTGTGTGTGTGTGTGTGTGTGTGTGGTGTGTGTGTGGCTAGGCCTAATCAGAATAATTTCAAGTCCAGATTCAATGTTGTTGGCATAAGTAGGCTATATTTTTCGTTTCGTTTATTTAATAAGTTCATTTCAGGACAACTTTGGGAATTTAGTTTGTTTGTTATGAGTTTTAAATAGATTTTGAAAGTGGAGATAGAGAGAAGCAGCGCTGTTTGCTTAGTTGTAGTTTATGCAATTTAGGCCTATAAATGGTTGTAATTTATGTGCCAGTGTATCCATGGTTTTGAGTCTACGTGTGTGTTGAGCGCAGCGCCGTCTGCTTTTTGAAGTACAGTAACTAAAGTAGGACTAGCAT